ACGAGAGCAGCAACACTATAGTTGGGTAAAGAAGAATTTCACTATAACACACCATCGACTGGAAATACTTTCGGCAACGTGGGGCTTAAAATAGTGATTAAATGTCGCTAGAATTATTCCACAGCCGCATACAATACATGAGCAAGCCAAACGCGCACTTTTTTGCCTGTAGATTTGAAGACATACTTCAAATCTCCGCGTACACCGTACGAGTTAGGTAAAGAAGTGTGCGTTTGACTTGTACTGTCTCATTAATGGCTCTTCGCACATTTTCAACTCCTTTTCAATTTTCATACTGCCGTACTCTAACAGAACTATCTACCTGTCTTCTTCAAAGACAATTCTCCAGCTAATAAATTATCACACTAAAGCTTCATGTTAGATAGCATTTCCAACCAACTCTGAATAATGATGCTAACTCAAAACTGATGAAAAGTACAGATGAGACTGACTTGCGGTTACCGGCAGTTTATGCGATAGGAATGGAAAAAGCGAGCGTTTTCTTGGCTTGAAATCGTTATCCTGCTGAAACATTCTTCCAAAATAGGACAAAGATTATCAATATACCCATCTGCGGTCATTATTCCACGGATTTGGATCAGATTCCCTACAGAAAATCATGAGAAACAGCTCCAATTGTTGGTTGAGGATGTCTTTCCTGTAGCGCCATACTCTTAGACGTCGTTTCTTGTTGAACACGTTTCAACACGTTTTCAGAACTCCAGCGGCTTGTTAATGTGATTCCTTGCGAAGATCAGCCGTTTTTTCTTGTTGGCCTTGCTGATAAATAGTAGCTTCCGAGCAAAATGGCTCTTCGAACCATGTTCAGCAATGCATCGTCGATTGGTGCGATCAGAAATGGACGATTCAGTCTTTCTTCCGGATCTCAGATTAATCAGCAACACTTTCCAGCAATTGCTGCTTCAAAAAAGATCTTCTGAACTGCACATACTTTTCGGCAAGTTTGCGTTGCGATTCGGTTCGTTGGTAAAAACGCACGATGAGATTTCGGACCTGCAGAGAAATTTTACATCTCACACAGGTCTACTTCAAAGTTCTACAGCATTACATACGAGGGGTGCGCAATGTAATTCAGATGGCTCAATATTTCTTTCGCTGGTGGATCTTTTTCTATGTCAAACCAGTATCAGAGTATCCTTATTTCTATTTTTTAAAGTAAAGGGTGATACGGTCAAAATTTGGTCAATATCAACTTGACGTATTTCTTTCAATTTTGCATTTAAAAAACCTGAACACCCCTCATTTTGAAGGTGTGTGTGTGTAGAATGTTGCTCCTATTTTGATTTTGGAATTCACTCTTCAGTTGTCAAAATGCCGTCCAAGCAAGAAGAGCAGCGTATCAAAATTTTACTCGCGCATCGCGAAAATCCGAGCTACTCGCACGCAAAGTTGGCAAAATCGCTAAAAGTTGCCAAATCAACCGTTACAAATGTAATTAAAGTGTTTGGGGAACGTTTGTCGACAGCCAGGAAGTCTGGATCGGGGGGAAATCGAAAACCGGAAGCCGCTGAGACGACAAAGAGAGTTGCCGGTAGTTTCAAGCGAAACCCTAACCTCTCTCTCCGAGATGCCGCAAATAAGCTGGGTGCATCGTCTACAACCGTGCATCGAGCCAAAAAACGAGCCGGACTATCGACTTACAAGAAGGTAGTGACTCCAAATCGCGATGATAAACAAAATACGACGGCCAAAGCGCGATCCCGGAGGCTGTACACGACGATGCTGACGAAGTTTGACTGCGTGGTAATGGACGACGAAACCTACGTCAAAGCCGACTACAAGCAGCTTCCGGGACAGGAGTTTTATACGGCAAAAGGAAGGGGAAAGGTAGCAGATGTTTTCAAGCACATGAAACTGTCAAAGTTCGCAAAGAAATATCTGGTTTGGCAAGCCATCTGTACCTGTGGCTTGAAAAGCAGCATTTTCATAGCTTCCGGGACTGTCAACCAAGAAATTTACGTGAAAGAGTGTTTGAATAAACGTCTGCTGCCTTTCCTGAAGAAACACGGTTGTTCCGTACTGTTTTGGCCGGATTTGGCATCTTGCCATTACGGTAAAAAGGCCATGCAGTGGTACGCCGCCAACAACGTGCAGGTGGTTCCCAAGGACAAGAACCCTCCCAACACGCCAGAGCTCCGCCCAATTGAGAAATACTGGGCTATTGTCAAGCGGAACCTAAAGAAGACCAAAAAAACTGCTAAGGGCGAGCAGCAGTTCAAGGAAAACTGGCTTTCTGCGGCGAAGAAGGTGGACAAGGTGGCTGTACAAAATCTGATGGCAGGGGTCAAGCGTAAGGCCCGGCAATTCGGATTTGGAAAAGCGGAAGCCTAACTGAATATTTTTCCTGAATTTTATACTAATTGAACTTGAAAAAGAAATTTAATTTGATTTTTTAAATAAACAATTTAACCGATTTACACGCGTTTTCCCTTGACCAAATTTTGACCGTATCACCCTTTAGTATGAAAATTAACAAATGATGCGAGAGCAAACTTAAAACATATTTAAAAAATGGTTTCGATATGATAAATAGACATAAACAGGCATTTAACTTATATTTGAGTAGGTGGATCCTTTTTGTACCGGTCACTTTCATGACGTGAAATTACTTTCATTTGAATTTTTCCCATTGGTCCTCCCTTTACATGATTGGAGGTGAAATTTTTTTAAATTAATTGTTCCTTTCATAAGATTTTTTTCAAATTGTATTTTTTGTAAAAATACAATCTAGTTTCTTACAACTTTGTCTCAAACATCACTTTGATTAGATGGGCCGTTCTCGTGCTTTGGTTTATAGAAAATCTACAAAGGACAGCCCTATAAGGTTGTACGCAATGGTGACGTAGGTCTACATGGTCTTATATAAAAAATGTTATTTGTAAACTGCAGCATGAGCTTGTGTTTTGGGTAGGAATAGGAATTTGAGCAGAGTTCTCTCTGTTTATATTCTTTAGTATGCCTATGATTACCCTTGAAAGAACCTTTTGATATGATTTTTAGTTGGGACCCTAGGTAGCCCTAAAAAGGACCAATGGTAGTACAGGATTAAAGCCTTTGGAAGATGATGATGACGTGTAGGTAGCTGGATCAGAAAATCGGACCGGACAATCCCATATTCTTTGGTTCAATTATTGGACACTCGCAAGAGTCTTGGCCCGTCTGATGCTGGACAGGGGTTGAATTCGTGTCTGCAACAGGTTGAAAGGCCGCAGAATATCAGTGTTCACCCAACTAAAGCTCCTACCCTCTCTACAACTTGGTAAATCTTTGCCTTTGCCTGACGCTTAACACTTTTTTTCGGCGAATTTATAATCCTGTTTCACGCCAAGGTTCTTCCCTATGCCTGTTCAGATAAATTTGTACTTTTATTTATTATAAATCAAACGAGGAGAAAAAAGAAGGGATGTCGGTTATGCGCTCAAATAATTGAAAATTTGATAAATATTTAATCGCATAGCTGGGAAAATCTTTACGATTTATCGTTAATCGAATAATTGGACTTTTAGGCATCCCTAGAAAAAGTGTAATTTCCAAGGGGTATTCTACTCTGCTCGCCCTATTCTGTTCCGTGAGATTTCACAGTGCCGATAGCTGTCCAAGCGTTGTGCCAAACATGCCAAAGTAGGCCAAAGTGTACCAATCAAGGTATTAATGACCCATAAGTTTGGCAACCCTGAAGTTATAATGACTTTTGTGATTGTGTTTACATTTTGAATTTCATTGATGGTTTATGGCAAACATTAAGTTTTATTCTCATTTGAACGTGAGCGGGTAGTGGAAGAGAAACTGGTAGCCATCCAAACTGCTGAAAATTAACACTCTGAAGCATTTTTATTGATGCGTAGAAATATTTCTGATTAATTGGTGATAAAATTATTGAAATTGGTCCAGGGACAGCTGTTATTAACGTTCACAATCTTACATAATTTCGTTACATGTTCTATGTTTAGTTTCCACAAAGTGATCCCCATATAGAAATCATAGACATCATAGACATCAAAACATCGAATGAGCCATTTGGAAAAATTACCCGGACGACAAAATTGCCAAATTCCATCAAAAACTTGGTTCATTGTCCCTGGTGAACAATGATTCACGGAATTCGGAGAGGGTGAATTAAAACCTATTCGTCAATTGGCATGGTTTTGCTCGAATGACAGTTTGAATTCGTTGTGTAGTGATGAGGGCACTTTTTCTGCCAGCGCTTTATCAGCCGATTTTGCAACAATGTTCCCATCAATCCAGTTTCATTCAGAGTCCACAAAATGCGATACAATGTGATTAAATCCGAGTCACATTTTGCGCAGCTGGAAATAATTTACCACCCGCTTAAAGCGTAGACAATAAAAATTAAAAGCCATAAAAACTCACCATCCAATGAAGCGAACATCTGAGTGAAAGTTGATTCACGATAATATATTCCATTTATTTATTTTTTCGTCCTCCCACACATGATCCTGATGATGAATCATGTTTGTTGGCTTTTTGTGACGTTCCCACGCTGGTTCAAGCGTGAAGAGGATTTCTGAGCAAAAAAAAATACGGAGAGGTGGGGGGTGATGAATGGCCATACATTTGTGCCCAGTAGAGGCCCATTACAATTAAAGCCTAAACATTAATTTACCGAATCGACTGTCCTCTCAACTATCCTACCATTTGTGAAGCAATCGTTGGGCTGCCAACAATTTATAAATATTCATAACTGTATGCTTCAGCTCGACGAGTCATCCGGTATCATTATCAGAAAGATAATAGCCATCGATTTCCAGACGATTGCTCCCATCCCACCTTCTATTAACGCTGTTCAAGCTCCGCATTGTGCAAACCTACTCTCGTTTCCGTCGTAATCACATTCCATCTTAATTGCATTAATATTTATAGCGCCGGACTACCGAGCCGAATCTTCCTTTCCTTCTTCAAACATTGTCGGCGAGAGCTTTAATTCGAGATTCCGTATTTTATTTTTTTCGTTTCATCAGGTTCTCCATCGGTGATACACGAAAAGAAGAAAATGCTCGACATCACCCGGGACAAGCCGATCAAAATTGCCGTCCGGGTGCAGGTGCCGGTCCGGGATCATCCCAAGGTGAGTATTTTACCTCGAAAAAAAAGAAACTCATTTCCAGCAGTAAAGATAGGCACGATTTCGGATGTTCAAGTCAGTAAGTGAAGCTATCAATCATCGAGTCCGTTCGTCGTGGTAAAGGAAAAAAAAACTGAAAAAGATGAGAGGAATTTCTTTTGATGTCACCATCCACCTCGGGACTCGGGAGATGGACGCAGGATTCCATTGGCACTCGTGGTATTTCGGGATTGGATAGTATCGTAATCTAAGCCACTTTTGTTTTGGGAAAAATGAGTCAAGAGCAAAAAGGTAACGGTGGGGGCAAATCTCAATCACGCATTGTGGCTCGATTGTGAAATTCTGCATCGCAGATCCGTCTGCTGGTGAAACGTGAGTCGTCGTACTTTTTTCTTCGAAAGAAAAAAGATTTACAAGAATGCGAAAGGAGATGATTGGTTAGCTTTTTCATTGTGTGCGACAGCAGCAAACAAGGGTTCGATGAATCGGTGAGGTGGAAAATTGGAAAGTCTGGCTGAATTTTTATGTTTGTGGGTAGGTTGTAAATTTCAAAGCTGTGATCTGGTTGGTGTGTGACAAACAATTGGAATCGATGGTGCTAGGAAGTGTTCAGAACATCATTCTCAAATCTCATTCATTGAGACGAATCTGGCTAACAAATCTTCCTTGTTTTTTTTTCGTCGATTTTGTTTTCCGTGCTGAGCACCAATGCTACCAACGTCAGGGAGGCAGCTCACACACCTGGACACTACCTATCGACCCATCAACTCATGAACCATGAACCAACAGCTTTACTTCCCTTCCGGGATCAGAGATGTTATGCCTCAGAACATCCCGGTGGTGCTGACTGGGATTGAACCCAGGCCTGGTGGGGTGAGAAGCAATCATGCTTATCACTAGACCACCGGCGCCGCTATCATTCCAGCTTAACACTCATAAAAACTACTCAAACGTCAATTGATAGCATGTTGTTGTTTAGTGTTTTTAAGCACAGAAACCAATGCATGAATATTAGACTGATGCAAAATTTGAAATTTTCGCTCCACAGTGCTCAAACGGTTCCAAATTGGGTCTTGATTTTTCGAAAATTTCTCTAACTATTCTTACGGGAATTTATCTAAGCTACAATTTTGCAGAATATTGTTTTTCAGTCACATGTCAAATTAAATAGTTATTAATTGTTTAAGAGATTGATAATATTATGGCATGATCAAGCAGCTGTTCTGTTGGCAACACTGTATTCTGCAGTGTGACATAGTAGCCATGATATTTGTGCTCTATTCTTCGCACCAGAAACACCAATGTTGCCTGCTGAACAGTTGAATGAGCATAATCATAAGACATCAGTGACTTGAATAATTAATAACTTTTGTTTCATGCATTTGATTGAAAAGTGGTTTTCAACAAAGTTGTAGCTGAGAAAATTTGCTACAATCACTGCTATCGTTTTTAAAAGCACAGTGATGTGGTGAATTTTAAGACAGACATGAACAAAAACATAAGTTTTCGCATAGTAATTCCCATATAAACTTGAAATGGTTTGTGCCAAGTCAGTTTCTTACTAGAGTGGTTCAAATTTTGAATCAGTCTATTGTTCATGCATGTTGTATTAGATTCCATCCATTGATAACAGTAAAAACAATAACGCCTTCATTTAGAGCAATTAATTTTTGAACCTGTAAACTCATCTGTGATTTTTGCAAAACAAAACTCATAGGCGAATAAACTCACGCATGAGATTTGAGTTTTTAAGTTATTTTTTCAAATCAATGGTGCTAAAATGCTAGTTTCAAAATTAATTATTGAAAACGTCATACAGCCAAGTTAGGAATCGGAAGTAAAATGTCAAAAATCGGAAGTCAGAACGAATCACAGTTGTGTACAATTCATTGAGAATGATGGCCCATCTAACCTAAAGGGTATTAAAATTTATATCAGTCAAGGCGTCAATTCTACTAGGTTGTATTCACTTTTTGCCTGATTTTTTACAGTTTTTGTTCAAATATTTTGATTTACGGTTTAGCGACTTTGCAGTCAATTTAATTGTTTATAAGATAGTTTGAACATACTGGAAGGTTAGCACATATCATCGGTAAGAGACGTGTGTGAGAAAATTTGCGAAAAAATCTAAAGGCACCGGATTCGAACCCACAATTCCCAATTCCCGAGTGCATTGCCAATTATACAACGGTGGACCTATATGGTCTATGGATGTGTAGAACGCTTGCGCAAAAATACTACGGTGGGAAACGGATTCGAAACTCAAATGTCATTAGCCAAATACATCCATAGACGCAAATTTTCTCACACACACGTCTCTTACCGATGATGTGTGCTAACCTCTCAGTATGTTCGAACTATTTTGTTCAAATATTTCAGCACATTTCAGTGATCGTACCTTGGTACTTTTCTGAGGAAAATCAGTAATCGCCTCTTTCACTTTGATCCTGACTGTGATAGAAGAAGGGCGCGATGATATAGTTTGTTCCACGGTGTGACTGGTTAGTAGTAAGAGAAAACGTGAAGTGTCCTCAGATGTATTTTAATCGATTCCTAATGTTCCCCGTATAGGCTAAAGCTAGATAAGTTTGTAGTGCTGTTATTGTTGTGTGAGTTTTGTGTAAGCGTTCCAGATAACTGCAAAGGTAAACTAGAGATGGGCAAAATGGTCCACTGAAGTGAGCACCTGTGAACCGTTCCGCTCATTACAGTGAGCTAGTTCACCTGAGCCGTTCATTTGCTCACTTTGTAAAACTTTTATGTGTCACCAACTGAAGTGTCAAGCCGCATTAAAAATAAATAAATGAGGGTTTTTTACTTTTAATATAAGATTTATTTAATAAAGAAAAGAAAAACAAGTAACATTTCAGCCAGCTTTAGGTATGATTAACATTCACAAACATAATTTGCGAAATATTTTTCGCCGTCAGCCTACTGCGCCTATCACAAATTAGCTGTCCTGCTTTGGAAAAGATCCGTTTACACGGCACCGATGTCGCAGGAATACATAGTCTTTTACCATTATCTGGTAAAGTTTCGGATAGACCTGTTTCTTATATTCCCACCAAACTAGAGGATCACCTGATTTGGGCAAATATGACTCAGCCAAGAATTTATCCAATTGAATTACGCTTGCAGCTTTAGGATCCTGTTCTGTGTGCAATTTGCTGATTGTGTGATCGAACTGTTCCCAAATGGATGATTTAGCAACAGAAGGTTGTGGCTCGGCCTGTTCAATTTCATCCATTGCTCCAATATTCTGCCGCATTTTGTCCACAATATCTTGGTACGCCGTGTTGAAGTTACTCTCGTCTGCGAAACCTTGCTTCTTAAAACGGGGATCGAGAAGGGTAGCCTGGGCTACTAATTTATTCGATTCTCTGTCCCCGAACCGCTTAATAAGGCCATCAGTTAGCTCATCTACCAGCATCTTGACACACCGCGGGAGGTAGTCATTTGCAAGTAATTTGATTTTCTCATTCATAATTCGAGCCAGCACCGAGCTTTTAGAAAGCGAAACTGATTTTTCCGCTGAAATCTCGACCGTAACCTCATTAAAGAGGCCGAGAATTTTTACGCTTTGCCGAATTATGTCCCAGTCATTACTCTCCAACGTACATCGTGTTGAGTCCAGAAGTGCCAGAGTAAAAATTACAGCTTCTTTGCCTTGCACTTATCGACTGTGACTTTGATGGAATTCGCTATGGCATTCTGTACGACGAGGTACAATAAATGAGCAAAACATCTCAAGCGTCTCATTTGCAAAATAGTCGCAGCCGACTTCATATTCGAAGCGTTATCAGTTGTAATTGCTGTAATTTTGTTTTCGACATCGAACGAACGAAGAACTTTGGTAACCCATGTCGAAATATTTTCACCAGTGTGTCTTGGCATGAACTCGGAGCACTTCAGCAAGAAAGATGTCAAAATACCATTTTTGTTAATGAAATGAGCAGTAAGTGCGTAAAATCCGGTGTTGGTAATGCTGGTCCAACCATCGCAGGTTAAACAAATTGCAGAAGCGTCAATCAACTCAGCTTTAGCCTTTTCCATCAAGTCATTGTAGACAACTGGCAACAATCCATTGGACAATGTTTTTCTACTTGGAAGAACATAGAATGGGTTAAGTAGCTGCGCAAATTTCTTGAATTTCATATCCTCCACAATTGAAAACGGATGGAACTCCTTGCAAACCATTTTCAAGAGCTGAATGTCAATGAGTCTATTTTTCTGGATTGGTATGGGTTTGATTACTTCGACAAATCGTGCCATCGAAGTCTGTGAGGCAGATGGTATCGAAATTGAAGACGATTCAGCAACAACAGTGGTTATGGATTTTGTACACGCAAACCAAAAAATTATTACAATGAATGTTAGATCCATTTCCTATCATCCTCTGTTCATGAACATCGCAGCGAATGTTAGAAGTTGGCCTTGCAGGCGATGTATTGGTTTTTTGCCTTTTTTATTTCGTGTTCTGTCTGTGCTTTCACCTACACAAGCAAGCATTTGCCTAGATTTTTATGTATAACATGGTAGAACGACGCACACACTTGCCTCGAATCTCTCCAGCAGAAAAAAAAAACATACGAAGTCGAGTGTGATAGGAAATGAGCGCTTCTTGTTTGCTTTTAGGCTATCATTATTCAGAAGCATGGAGATAGCAGTGGAGAAAGCACAGGTCTGATAATCGCAACGTTCGTGGTTCGAGTCCAGTCGGCAACCTTTTTCCTATTTTTTTTCGACATAATAAATTTACCTCACTAATACACTCTACATTTTTCAGTCTCCAATTTTCTTGCATTGGATAACAGCTAGGTATATCGCATCCTCGGTTCATGCGGTCTCCACTTACATCCTCTGATGATGAATCCCACATAATTGTAAGCGAATCTTACATCCACCGGTTGGGTGTAGCAGATTCTCGATTTTGAGTACTCACGTTCTGGCAAGTAGGTTGCGGTTGTACGTCTTCTGAGTTGACAGTGCAAGCAGTTGTAGCT